TTCAACAGCTGTTCACCTGTTCATAAGGTGAAATAGTCTAAGAAAACCATTATATGTTGAAGTTTGGTTAGGTGCAATTGCAGCTCTCAATATCATGTTACTTTATAACACCCCGATGTTTCGCTGCTATTAATATATGAACATTAATCAGAATATTCTGATTAAGTTAGTACATAACCCTGATGTAAGAGGAAGGCCTATGTAAAAGAAAAACAAACATACAGAGAAGTTAGCTGGATGACTGAAGGCCACAGTAAGTCAGTAGCAGAGCCAAGAATATTCTCCTCATATTCCGGGGTGTAGTACATACACCTGACCCCAAATCTCCTACTTCACCTAACAGACACATTCACTGTAAGCCAAAAATCTTTCACTAGTGACAGTGTTTTAGCCTGATACAATGAGAAAGGACTGAGCTATTAAATCTCCTTCTCCACAAATGCTTTGTGACCTAATAAAATGTTCAGACCACCACCACAATTATTCTCCAAGCAATAGGGCTAAATTTTAGTAATTTTTCAGTGCCGCTGTTCATGACTGAAATGATTATGTCTATTCCTTTTCCCAGGCCACAGGCTGAGCTTAAGCAAGAATTTTGCTGTACCAATGCATTAAATTCAGACCCAATAAATCAGCAGCTATTACAGTGTGTCTGGAGCTAGGTGTCTTGGGGCTTTTATTTTTTCTAAAGAAAAAAGTAGTGGGAGCCACCAAGGGCATTAGCAGAGACTGGAAAGTTATAAAGATGAAAACTGTGATGGGAAGAACTCATAACACTGGTGCTAGTTGTCATTCAGATGCACCAACAGAAATCTGGAGTAAGACCACTTAAACGAGTTTGGTATGGAACACTAAGAACTTAAAGTGTGGGCACTGTACTGAGATGATGCAAGAGCCCACATCAAGTTTCATGAGGTACCAATCACTAAGACATTAAAAATACACATTGCTTTTGTCTACTTTTGATATGGTGACATTTATACAAAAAGGAAATAAAATTAGCAAGTTATTTTTATGTGCCTATCAATTTTGAACTTGAGCTTTCTAGTACAGTTTGACTTAACCTTTTAACTACAGAAAGAATGACAACCTCTTTTCTTTTGTCTTCTCACCTCCCCCCAAATATATACCCAACCAAAAAAACGCCCAATCAATTTAGTTCAGCCTCTTGATGTGTGTATCAAAGCTACTACATAGAAATCTCAGCTGAGGAGCCAGAGCTGTCAGAAGACTATATGTATCAGAGCTTTAGACCAGGTGCGTCCAAATAGCAAAATAAACCTACCGCAAGTGACAATCCAGAACAGTCATGAGACACAACATACACAAGGAGGACATAGAAGGAAGAAATAAAAATTAAAACATCCACACACAAACATCAGTAAAAACCATGGAGAAATGACCTTTTTACGGTAGTACATTCATTAACAATTTGCCTCCCCTAGAAGGAATCTAATCCTCCCAGTGGCCCTTGGTGGAGCTGTATACTCCACTTGAAAAAGTAAGTGTTTCCTGCAGTGGGAATGGGTTTAAAGCCTGAAAACCTAATCTTATTTTGAACTCATCTCCCACTTCATCTCAACTACATTTGCTCATAATCTATATTATTTCATAAACAGTTTCTCATTTGAAGTTTTGTTCAGGAAAGTAGACATTTTGAAGCACAAATATTCTGACAGAGACCAAAATTGCATTCCACTTCCTGTATATCTACCTCTGTGCAACTGTTGAGCTGATTGAGTATCTATGTCAAAAGGATCTTCTAACTATGTCAAGCTATATGGCTCTATAATGATTTGGCACAGATGTGCAGGTCAGCATGAGTACATGTAGGTCAGAAGTTCTCTTTGACAAACAAAACCAGACTAAGATGGAAATTATATTTCCAGAAGCTGATACTTTCAACTTACCAAATGCTACTCGCTTTCAAGTTTTGTGTGCCTAGGGAACCAGGATCTTGCAAGATGCCAAGTGCCTATCAACTGCTATTATGCACTCTCAGCTGAAGGCAGAAGGTAATTAGCACTTGCAGGTTCAGGCCTAACAATGACTGAACTAAGCTTTTTGGGTTTTTGACAACATTTCAGATCTTTGGTACTGTATGTTGCCCTTTATAATGGCATTAGATTTACACCTTGCTCTTCAATTACTTTTTTTTTTAACATTAAAATTTGCTTCTTTAAAGAGCTAAAAGGCATTCTTGTTATTCCCCTTTCTATTTTATGCCAGAGCCTTTAAGTGGTTCAGTTCTCTTAACTGAAATATTCTACATTTAGCATTGCATTGAGTTCAGCTAGGTATATTAAAATTTGCACTAATAATTCAGGATTAAATTGTTAGAATAAACAACCAGTCATACAGAAAAAAAAAAAAGACAAGACAGCTAAAATTTCACAAATTAGGAATTAAGTTGGTAAAAGTTATTGAATGCCAAGGAGTTAAAATCTGTACACTATCAGACTGCTAGGTATGAATTTAAGGGGCTAATTTAAGCAGCCTGTTTTTGAAATCCAAGACAGCGAAGAGGAAGCTTGGCTGGAGAGTTGGTGATCCATCCACTTATTAAAGGTCTGACATTTACATCAACTGAGAATCTACCCTCCTTAGGTTTAACTGTGCAAAACAAAACATAGTGGTTAAATCCCAAAATGTTTGGGCAAAAGTATGTTTAAATAACTATACAGAATATTTTGAATGGAATCATCTTAAAATACCTATCTGTGCAGCATTTCAAAGTTTGAGGTCTCTTTGTAGACAAGAGACTCATGATTCAGCTTTTTATCAAATTTTCCCATGCAAAAGATAGAAATGAAACTCAGTATTAGTTACATAATGTAATTTTGCATTTAAAATATTTATTTTCCAAGAATCCATGGTCATTTATCCAGGTCCTAATGAATATAATTAAAAACACTTAATAATATATTGTAAATACAACAATGGCCTTACATGATATGGAACAAATTCCACATAAATATCAATCAACAAATTGCACATTATTTGTCCTACAACGAAGTATTAGGTTTGTTATCATTGGTAGAACATAATAAACATCTCAAAGAATTTTTCCACGAGCATAATCAACCAGTTCTTCCAAATTATTCTTGGTTCAATGGGAGGAGCTGGCTAGCAGTACCCCAACAACTGGTGATCTGATTTTCCATGTGTTGCTGAGGAGGGAAATATCTCACAGTTACTTAATATTAATAGCCCAGAACCAAGTCTGTAAATCAAATACAGGGAATCTACGGATGCTAAATCAAAGTGCTCAAAGAGGAGGAGTTTCTTTCACATTCATCACATGGAGAAAACAAAATCAGAGTAAAATCTTTTTCAAGGGAGAACTCAAAATTTCTGCTCTGTTGTTTTTTGAGCTTGGCCTCACTAATCTTCCTAACCTTGGAACAGCTGCATCTACATTACTGATTTTGTGTACTGACTGTTTTCAGCTGTGAATTTGTCTTGTGTTGGTGTCATGCACTCCAGTACACCAGTGTGGCACATGAAGCATTTTCTCTCCAGGTGGAACCAAGGTTGAAGCTGTGCACCAGGGCACTATCTAAAGTGCTCCACTTGTAATGTGGATGCAAGGGTCTCCAGCTGTTCACTCTTTGTGCCTGTGCAGGACTCTGTTCGTTGTGGTAAAGCAATCTGGGATGGCTGTAGAGAAATTTGCTTTGTATTGCCTACTAGCATGTAGACACATGAGTACACCTAGGATGGAAAACTGGTGTAAACTTCATTAGCTCTAAGCATGCAATGTGTACTTATGGTCTGAGAACCAGAACAGATTGTGTCAGATCAAGCCCCTTCATCACTCACATGATGACAGTGTGTAGAGCTGTCACTATAAAATGTTGATTCATACAGCTTTAAAGTAATGAATTTTGTCAAGGTTTACTTTATTGGTGTGTGTAGATTAGAAAAGTTAACTACTGTCCATTTTAATAGTGGCTACTGTAATTCAGTAGCATGAACAGGAATAAAACAACTGGATTCTCAGTTATCTTCTTTCCATACTGTCTACTGAGCAAGAACAACAAAAACTGTCCTCTTGTCTGATAATGGAAACTGGAAATAGCTCTGATAGCTCTGTACTTTTGAAGCTTATCCATTATTTTCCTCCCCTTATCTGAGCTCCTTTCAGACTGCACTCATGTGATCCAGTTGCAGCGAGTCATCAGACATGTAAGGCCTCCTCATCCACTCTCCTGATTTTTCTCTTCCGGTATCACATCTTATGTGCCTAGAGAAGCATGCTAACCTATTCCAGGACTCTTAAGACTAGCTGATGAGCCACATTGGTGGCTGCTCCATCACTGTACAGTGGCATCTCACCACTTGTTCTGAACTGCTCCATGGATCTCTTAGCTAGTATGCTCTAGGCTTCTCTTCCTGGATCTTGTTCCTGATCAGCTGGTCCTAGCCCTCGGGTTCCCAACTTTGGTTTGTTCAACACTTCAACATCGTGTTGAATGCCCCGTGCTCTTCCTTTTTGGTTATCTTCCCTTGTTTCTATGTTTCTCGTTTTTTCTTCTATACTGTTGTTTCTTTCCCTGCTGAAATTTTGCTTTTGTGTAAAAAGAGATTTAGAGTTCAGAGCTACATTTGTTTATCATGTAAGCTCAGAAATACTGCTAGAAAGATATACAAACACTGTACTAGGTCCTGGTCAAAGTCTTGAAAAAGGACAGTGAAAATGGCACACATTTGCTTCATTTTTGGGACAACCAAGATACTCTCAATGAACTTGTCCCTTCCAGATGAGTCATTATATGCCTGCTCATATTTTTTTTAGCAAAGTAGGGAAACTGGCTGACTGCTTTATCAGTGATGCCACATCCAGATTCATCTTTTGTGATACCCCCAAGAAGATGCAGCCAATCAGTCCCCTCTTCACAGAGCCACTACTGAGGCAACAAGTAGAACTTTTTGTAGATACATCAAACAGAAACCTTCAAATGCAACTCAAGAGTTCAAGAAAAGGAGAGGTACTTTACCTGGTCTTTCATGGTTTTCCCTAAATCTTTAACATCTTTCATGTTAATAGCATTCTTCCCTCCCTTCTCCTTTCCCTTCTTCTTGTTCTTCTTTTTGAACAAGCATTTCTTACAGAGACAAAAGCAGCAGGTAAGGATTAATAGGACTGCAACTATGGCTATGGCTATTAAGGCCCAAGGTGGCACTGGAAGAGAAAAAGAAACACACACAAAAAGAAGGTGGGAAACTGTTAGTAGGGTTAAATTTAGAAACAAGCACATTTCTCTCACAGCTAAGCCTTTTTCAATAAAAATGTCTTGCAGAAATACCTGAAATCCTTTCTAAAATATCCTGTCATCATATGGATATTTGTCCCAACTGACCATTTGCACACACAATGCCAATTTAACACATCTATCTATTTACATGCCTGGTGATACATATCAAACTCACTTGCAGCTATTTTGATTAATCAACCATCTGAAAACAGTATGTCCTAAACATTTATACTGTGCAAATCTGTAAAATGCTCAGCACATTTAGGCCATTACTTGCTTCTTTCTTTGATCATCTCCCCAACCCACCTGGCACTGCGGCTGAATTGGGTGGAAGTGACTGGGAATTTCCCTTTTCCAGAACGGCATACGACCCAAGCAGTCAGTTTTAATGAACAGCCCTTCTCCTCTGCCCACTGCTGTATTTGACAGACTCACAGATTCCTCACAACAGATGCAGGTCAAGGTCACCAGTAAAGACTGACCAAGGACAAAGGACTGTCCAATCCAAGGGCATTTGCCCTATTTGTCATCATGCCCTAACGCTAGCAAAGTTTCAGTACATAGCTATGTTCTCACCTATACTTTCCTATAAAGAAAAGCATATGTTCCTTTTATTCATTCAGTCCAGGATGCTGGACAGAGCTGAAGCATGAATAAATAACAGACAACACTTATGATAAAATGGTCTTGCTAAAGATCAGAATTTTTGGAGAAAAGGAATTAAGATGACACTTAAACACAAGTACTCCAGAAGGGAATTATCTTCATACAAATCAGTTTTAATGACCACTGATCCTCACATTTAACCAGAACACCTGACAAAACTTTAAATGTTGTAAACTGTCATTTTCTAAAAATCTCAAAATGCGCTCAGTCTATCAGGTCTGCAAGACACTCTCTCAGTGCATTACCTAAAGGCCTCTAATATGATACAGAGCAAAACTGAAGAGTGAATCAAATTTGACATGTTGACGTCAGTGAATCACAAAAGGGAATGGACAGTATAAATAGAGAAAACTAATTGCTCAAAGGAGCTAAGCAGAGTTTGAAGCATGGTCACAGGAACTTCCACTACAAATTACCAGTTCAGGAAGAGGACCAAGCTCCTACACCTTCCTTACTCTGAATTTAATGACCATATTTGTAACTTCTATTCAAATGTCATTGGTGATAGATACAAAAATAATGCAGGAGAATAGTTAAACAATAATTTCTGTAATACTTTTCTGCCTCCAAATGTTCATTAAATGCAGCTGCTATAAAAGGGAAGCTGTACCATATGTAGAACAAATGAGAACTGATTACTAAACAAATGAATGTTAAAAGATAAACAGTGAACAGATTAACAGCTGTTTATGGGATGTATTTTATGGAGTCAGCAGCAGCAATTCTGCAGTTAAAGTTGCACTAGATCTGCACTTATCACAACTTAAAATCTGTATTTCATGCATTAATAATTTCATTTTTTCTTCACATCTGGTGTGGTAACACTGTAGCACAACTGACTCTCCTACAATTTTTTTTTTTTTTTCAGCACTCACAAATGTAAAACCATCACCTTTCACAGGCAATGTATGTTCTTCTCAAATTCTAAACTTCACGTGTCCTTAGTCTGCTAGACACTTAGCATCTGAAATGGTATTTACATAACACTATACTTTACATCTGAGCTAATCTATGGGAGTTATGTTAATGTGAAATGAATGCCGTGCCCAAATTTATCAGCTATTTGTTTTGCTGCCTTGTCAGCAGCACCTGAAGCACGATGCCAGTGAATATGGAGAGCAGCAAGAATATGGGATGGGGTTTTGACAGCAGGATGGCACCGTGGGAGGAAAGAGAGGAGGGACACATCAAAGGCGGGTAAGCTGGGAGAACCAAGGAATTGAGGAGACAGGGAATGTGGGTGTTAATAGGATATATATATCTGCATCCTACAGACGAAAAAGCTTGTGTAGGTAGTGAAGTCAGGTGCCTTTGTGCTGAAACTGTTGTGTAAAGTGGTATTCTGGCACTGCCGCCTCGGTTCTCTGGAGCATGAAAAATGTAGGGTGCCTTGGGGAGCATTTGAAACACTTGCAGATATCTCAGCTTCTTTTTTATAATGCATTGTCTGCTCTCATCTGTTTGTAATTTAATTTCACCCAATAGCTCTTGTGATGCAATTAAATGCTCATCAAATTAATATCTGAGACACCAAGAATTATGCAGAATTCCTTATTTATCTCTTCAAAGAAAACACGCTTCCTTTATTATTCAACAAAGCATAAGCAATAAAGGAAAAAAATTGGGGTAACCCAAAATCCGGACATTTGCAAAATAACTTTGACATTCAAGTTTGAAAAAGCAAAGACGAATGGATTTTTTTTTCCTAATAAAAGGGTACTATCCCTGTCAAGGAGATGGCTCATCCGAAGATTGCCACTGAGAGAGATTCCCCAATCAGTGGATGTACATATTAGATTTAAGACAAGTGAAACACACAGTTATCACTACCTTTGAAGTGATGTTTGTTTCTTTTCAAAGGCATTATTTAAATAATTTTAAATGTTAATAATTTTACATAATACAGACAAGATTTTCCAAATTTACTAAAGACTTTGAGGGCTTTCATATTTGTGCTCCTCAATTCATCATGCTGCCAGAGGAGCTTGAATTCCAGAAAAAGATAAGTTTTTAAAAATTAGTTTTCTATAAAGTTGTCTCAAGGTGGACAGGACAGAATGAAATGACTGAAGTCACTAGTCACTTTGGAAGACTCAAGTCTACAGACTTTAATTTTTCAGCCTTTTTACCAGCTGTGAATAATATGTATAAAAACCCCACTGACAGTATATGAACTTTCTTGGTTTTGCACAGTGGCTCACTTTGGAGATTCATATTGGTTGATTCCAGTTGGACTTTACCCACACTTATGCAAGAGTTTCAAAGAATTTCATTTTTCCACTGTTTAAATGGACAACAAAGGAAATCTACAGTTTGAAGACTACCTCCATCTATATTAAACCAGTTTGATCAGGTTCAGTAGCGCAGCTTGAAGCCTCAGGAGGTCTTTGGTCATGATCCATTGAACAAAGGACCTCTGTGGCAGACGAAGCAGGATGGGTGACACAAAAAAGGCAGATCCTGACCAAGCGGCCGAGGTGTCAGGAAGCCAGAAACTTCTTGTACAACTTGTCTTACCCAGTGCCTGCACAAGGGGGTGCTTTGAAACAAGCAATACTTACCTGTGCAATCAAGGAAAAGCTATTGGTTTAAGGATAATTAATATATCTATAAATTTCCTGGTATTTCAGCGCTATTTTCTTTGTTCTGCTCCTGTGGGCAAATACAGAACACTTATTTTGAAGAAGCTGTCATGAATCGCTGTGTGATTTGGTGACTCTACAAGGCTCTTAAAGATACATCTATAGGAGGGGATCTGCTGAGTAGCATAGTTAGTAAGTAAGGTCTTGAATTAGTCTTATTGATCCAATCCAAACAGGGTATGCTCTAGGACTTTACTCAGAAATGCAGGAATGAAGCTGATCTGTAAAAGCAGAGTGTAGAGAAAATGAAACGCATGGCTTACTCCTGAGCAACAGCAGGGCACTGAAAAGAGTAAGCTCTAGGATTGTGTTGATAATTGAGGCATTCTGGGTACCGATTTTGCATCCTTCACTCATGCTGAACATCAGTCAGACATGGTTGCAGCTAAAGCAGTTGTGAGCTCTTTCTTGCTTCCCCCCCCTAATGCCAGCCAGGGTTGTGTGCATATTGTGGGTCATTTGATGCATTTGTAGCATTTCACAAATACGGCAGCTGTGACGCACTTATCATTTTAGTTTGGGCTTAGGAGTGCATTTATGAGGCATATCTTCAGATTGTACCCATACACCATGCTTGGACTCATGTTATGCAGCAGTGTGGGGGGCCACGACGGACCAAATGGGAATATACACTCCAGAGGTCGCCTAATGGTGCTCCAACTGCAAAAGGCACTTGGCCCATGGGAGCAAACCTAAACAAAAGCATTACCCCCACAAAGTTTGCAGCGTGGAGTGGGGTCCTCAGGACCGACTGCTTCACTCCACTGATTTGCTTCTATTGTGCTGCACTAAATACAGCTTGTCCCCCAACCTGTTATTAAATCTTGTTCCACTGAATATGCTAGATTTGAAGGAAAGGATGTATTACTGAGTTATTCAATTTAAGAGCTACAAATTACGTCCTTTATACAAAGATGTCCTTAATTGGCCTTACAAAAAATGTTTGGAGAGGTACAGGCCTTGGGTCCAAAACTGACATTCCCATCAGATGATCTAAAATTACCAAATGCCTCGGAGGACATTTGACTCCAGAGGAAAGACAGTGAGAGGGAAGTCACAAAACGTGTAACAGCATCGAAGTGCTACAGTCCACAGAAGAGAATAATTCCTCCATCCTAATAATTTTCTTCCCTTTCTGTGTGCAATGTCAGAGGAAACTTTATTAACTTAGAACCTGAAGAGAGGGAAGGTCAAGGAAGAACTGAAGAGAGGAGCTGAATTAAAAAGTGAAGACTTACATACCAAAAATGCTGTCCACCGACAACTCCCAATTAAGCAGCCCCATTTAAACTGTGACAACAAAGGACTATCAGATGATGGCACCTTCCATATTATTCTGCAAAGGAGGCCCATGGCATGTCGGAATTGATAAATATTAATAAACTATGTTTCAGAGGGGGCATGATACTTAACAGGAAGCTGCAACTGCTAAATAGTTGTATGTGAAGTGCACTGCATTAATCTAAAGCTCTGGTAGCCTGAACATGAGAGCACTGGCAGTTTTCATTTACTAAACCATAGTTTTACCTTAGCTTTTTGCACTTGCAGCTTCTAATCAGGAAGCAAACCCCATATATAGCCAAATTCAGACTTTCTGTATAGAAACTCCCCAGGGGCCA